CACTTCAGGCCAGATCGCCGACAGATTTTAGAGTTTGCCAGTTAGCTTTTAGCAGTGATTTTGTCTTTATCTTTAGTGGCAGCAAACAGTGATAAACATATTATATCCATGATCACTTGAAGGGAAGGTTTGAAGTTTCTTCATATTCAACGATGACGATAATCTCCAAAATCCCTTCTTATTCAGTATATAAACTTAGCCAGCCTAAGTCGCATAAGGCATTTTAAAGAATGACAGTTGATTTTTCCCATTACCAGATGAGATGAGTCTTGAAGTCCAATCATCTCGCCAGCAGCCCCAGCTAGGACTCGAACTTTTGGCAAATAGGTTGCGTCCTAGGCTGATCAACTTCATTGTCACTGAGTCACACGATTGGCACGACTTTAGAGACGAATTAGGTTTATCAAAACTCACATTCCATCATTATATAGAAGCTAGTGTCACACTTCTGAAATGTGACCTATTTTTCTATAAATTCGCACATCACAGTTCGATTCCCAGCTGGGTGGGCCGAAGATATGCTGAGGCTGGGTAGAGTGTGTAGCCTAGTCGAGAATGATGATTTGGATCAGGAAAATTCCAGCCGAAATGTATGCATTCATTAGATTTGTTTGTGGATAAAAGGGCTGTCAGTACCTGTACCAACATACGAAAATGCTATATATGAAAGACAGCTGGATTTTGAAGAGCCACTTTTTGTTTAATGGGATTCGACATTTGAGTTCGAGGGAATAGATGAGTAAAGGGAATTATTGCAACGGTTCATCGGAAACTGATGCAGGGAAGCCCTAAATTGGGACTTTATATTGAAAAGATTTTAACTCGGATCTGATCTTCCTTCGGTTTCCGATAAGATCACTTAATGAATTGTTTATAGCCAACTTTCATGCAAAATAAAAAGTAAACCGCTACCAAGTTCTTGCCTATTGTCACCTAGTCTTTGCCATACACGAGAATGGATGTAGCAGAGATATGCATCCTTTTTTGGAGGCATGTCAGGACAAGTACGAATCAAAAGTAGAATATTTTCGACAATCCCACCAAATAAAGTGAACTCGGAAAGGCCTGGCCTTTCTTCAAATTCACTCCTGCTCTGTGACTAATGATGGGATTGAGATTATGCGCTGTACTATCACAATCCAGGTTTGAGTCCTGCTGGGCTGCTTATGGGATCAGTTCAGGCGAGTTCGAAGCTGCAGCCCACTCATGCTTCGAGGAGAATACCTTTTAGAAGGCAGGGCTATGTGAAATTTAATGGCTACATGAGGCCTATTCACATCACTGTGGGAAAGTCCAATTACCAGTCATTTATCATGTTAAATTGAATTGGCGTGTGGGTGAAACGGCCATCAGTACCTGTGGCAACATACAAAAATGGTCTATATGAAGAAAAGCTGGGTTTCTATTGGCCAATTTATATGATTTGTCTTCTTATTCCTAAGAAAAAGTTATTTGAAAGGGATCCTTGCATTAGCCTCACCTGAAAACAAGGGAGGAATGCCTTATAGCCTTGGAGACTTTTGGGTTGAAGCGGTCCCAACTCGAAGACGGTCCTCTTTCGGTTTTCCGGAAGACAATTCATGCATCGCTTCCAGCCAACATTTTTCGAAATGACGAGTCAATTCACACCAGGATGATGCTCATTGGCATCTTGTATTTCGCATACTCAAGAATAGATGCAGGATACACACTCTTGTTAATCCTGTCTTCTTTATGCCTACATTTCTCTGCTGCTAGATTTCGCCGAACGACACATGGTGGAGTGGTCACCGGGAGTTTGCATCGACTCGAGAGACAACCTGCACTACCGGCCGAAGGGACCTCTCCGGGCATCCTTCAAAGTGAGCTTACGTCATGTACAGTGTTCCTTTATCCCTGATTCTATATTGTCGTGTAGTCAGTCTGGTTAATCAGGCACACGCGACGGATCCATCTTGCTCTAATAAAAATGATGCTTTTACCAGTTTTTCAGATTCATCTAAAATCCGCCTGCCAGTTGAGTAATCCCCACGATTGTCTATTTGACAAATAAAAAGTTTCAAGCCCAAAAGTATGAAATGACGATGCCTGTCACAGAGTTAGCAAATTAAAAGTAATCATCTCAAGGCAATCCTCCTCTTCCATCTCCTTTGGTTTCTAATGAAGCCAAGTTACCAATAAGAATTGAAGACTCACAGTTAAATTTTTCCTACAATGGGATGAATTGGCTTCACAATGTCATTGTGTTTCACATAGATTTGCCTATAAGCAATTACTGATAATGTCAAAACCAATTTTCTGATCCCTTCAATTAGATATTTTCGGCTAAATGCAAAGAAATATATGCGAATAAAAGTTGGGCTTTGAGGAATCTCTTGTTTCATAATTGTTGAGCTTACTTCCGTTTCGAGTGAAAGTGTTGGGTGAAGAGATTCGAAGTTCAGTTCCACCCAAAGACGACGGCGGATTCCTCTTGACCAGCTGTCGATTGGCTTTACAGGAAGATTCAGGTAAAAAGGTGATAAGCTTTCGTCCGTCATACAACGAATATCATCAGAGCAATGTATCATCGTCACAATAAAATTGAAGCTAACGAGTAAAAAAAAGTTATCGACATGTCCCTTAAAAGCTGTATGTAAACTTTATATCTTGACTCGTTAGCTTGAATTTTGTTGTGACGATGATACCTCGCCCTGATGATGTTCGTCATATGACGGACGAAAGCTCAGCACACTTTCACCGGAATCGAAGGAGATTGCCTCGGAAACAGCGTCAGCATGAATGTTCCAGTAAAGCCAATCAACAGCTGGTCAAGAGGAATCCGCTGTCTTCTTCGGGTGGAACCGACCTTCGAATCTATTCACCCAACAACAATAAATGAAAAGTCCCTTGACTGTCAAGTGATTGTCCTTCCTATTCACTTGATACATACATACATATGTGTGGAGAGAAAGAGAGATAGTATTTCTGGAGTATACAAATACAATAAAATGTATAAATAAGTACAAATAGATATGAATAAATGAATAAATAAATATTTTATATTTGTTTACTTAAGGAATACTATCATTCCAAGTAAGGTCACATGTTAGCTGGTCCTTTCGGCCAAACAAGTTCTATGTTCGGATGGACAAACATCTGATCATCCTTTCTGGACTGAGCCTATAAAAGACTTTATTTCCTTCTTCTATGCAGGGTCGCTTCTTTCGTCTCACCAAGCTGGGTTTCAACTGCCGTTACGACGTCCGGCTGACAGCTTTGAGATTGGATACTGAAGAAACTGGCAATTATGAAAATGCTTCACCTTCAATGTACTCCGGCCCCTCCTCCTCGTCAGCATCTTCTTCGGTCGAAGAGGCCTTTTTCGAGTCAGGCGAAGGGCAAAAGGAAGAGGAGAATACGTTCGGACGACCAGCAAAAGGGTCCTTGGGGTCGAGGACTTCCAGATCGGGCCATATCGACATGACTGAATTGTCAAAGTCGACGTCCACATCTAACGAAGCAGCAAGCTTA